CTTATTTCGTCCAAATTGATTTAATTGTCTCACTTTCTAAATAGTGATGTCTTGATTTAATTGCCACACTTTCTATTTTAATAAGAAATTAAATTTTAATATTTTAAGTTTACCCTTATCTCATAATAGATGAAAATGCATTAAGATTTTTTTGTTTAATTGTAAATTCTGGTGAAAATAAAAAGATAAATCTTAATTATTATAATTAATAAATTTTTTAATAATCATAGATGGATAAAATAAGACACTACACTAGACCGGAGGGAGTATCATTTAAAAAAAAAAAAACTCATGGATTAAAATTTTTTAAACAGTTTAGTATATTTTATCTTTTTTACCATTAAAAAAATAAAGCTAAAAATGAAATTATGTATATGGTGGTAATAAGGTGGATGCATTTCTGTATTTTGTTTTTGCATTCGATCTAAAAACACTTTCATGTCAGGTGAATAATAAAATTAAACTTAAAATAAAAAATATTTGTCGATATTAAAAATTTTTTTAAATAAAAATTAGTTTAAAACAAATTAATTAATATTCAGTCAAATAGAAAAACGAGCTCGGTTTTAACTGTCTTGGTGCCATTTTAATTAATTAGCAACAACTAACTAAATTAATTTCTCCTTCTTATTTGGTTTAGTACTTAAGGACAAATGTAGTCGGAATTAGTTATCTTACCTCTTAATGTAAGTAGACATTAGATACTACTAGTTAAAGATGCAATAGAAGTATTTTTGTAATTAATTTATATAAAAAAATATAAAATTAACTTTAATTTAATTAATTATACAAATTGGCCACACCAACCAAGAATCCCACTTTGGTTAGAAAATGAAGGTCAGACAGAGGAGTTTAAACTTGGCCGATTTGTGATTGAATAGGCTTGATGAAGACAAATAAATTAGATAGAAAGAATGAAATATATTAGCATACATAAGAGGATTCGTTCAAATAAATGACTAGCGCCCTCTTATATATGCCAATGAATACGTAGGATAAGTTAAAAATAGAAAAGAAAAAGTCATCTTAACGCAATAAATTATTAATTAAAATTAATTTAATTATAATAAATTAATATTTTTATGAGATATTGTAAAAAAAAAAAAAAAAAGGTGTTATGAAAAAGCAACTCGAATACAACCAAGAGAGAACTTCTGCGTAACTTACAAAATTTTGCCTGGGAGGCTTCGTGGTATGGTGATAGAAACTGCAACCAAAATTATGCGTTAGAGTCCACGGATATTGAGTCAATGAGGCATACGCTTTCATAATTCATTTTAAAAAGCAAAAAACGTTTGAAAATTCTGCAGCAAATATTCAAACATGGAAAGTTTTTTCTCGGTTGAAACTTGACTAGAAGCTCTCTTTTCTGTATACGTTTAGTTTGAAGGGAACCAAAAGGTGAAAAATAGAGTCCATTTGCTTCTTTTATTTAGATAAATAAATTAATTAAAAAATTCTATCTAATTAGTATTTTAAAAATATATGTTAATGGTAGATTTATTGTACTTTTTTATAATCAATTACTATAAAAAATTACAAAAGTTAACATTATTTTTATCATCAATGTCACATGTAAGTTTTTAATTAGATGATTACTAAAATTAAAGTTATTTTTTAATTTTTTATACAAATTAATTGAAATAAAAAAATATAACTAATGTATTTTAACTTGTACTCAAGGTATAAGTTAGAAAAATCTTAAAAAAATAAAATAAAAAGTTTTTTTTTTCCTACTCTCCCCCCAATTATTTTAGTAAATTAAATAGTGAAAAAATTTTCACTCCCTTTCCCTCTCTTTAACCCAAATATACTATTAAGGGTTGGATTTCCTTAATAACTAAGTGTTGTTTTATAGGTAAAGCATTAGGTTTAAGTTTTAGGTAATATTTATTAAATTCAATTTTTTTTAAATGTATTAAGTCAATATAAGAATGTATCTTTAAGATAAGAAAATAGTATATATCAGTTGCAGTTATAAAAAAATTAAAATTTCAACTTCAAAAACACCACATTTTAATAAATATTTTCAAAAATCAAATATATGATTTAGCATTCTATTTATGTAGATCATGTATATCAATTTTTAGATTAATTAAACATATATAACTAATTCAATAATAATAAAAAATTTATTACTATGAAATATATATTAAAAATATAAATTTGTTAATTTAATAATTATAAATACTAAATCAATGTAAAAATTAATATGTAAAATTTATGTTAATAAAATATTAAATTTAATAATTAATTTTTAAAAATATTAATTGAAGAGCGGTGTTTTTAAAATTAAGGCTTTAAATTTTTCATAAAAATCAAAATTAATATATACTTTTTGTTTGAAATAATTTGATAAAAAATTTGTCTCGAGAAAAACACCGTGATTATAAAAAAAGGGAGATCAAACATACTAAATAGGTGAAATTTTTATTTTGGTCTTTTTAGTTTGATTAAAAGTTTATTTTTAGTCTTTTTATTTAAAAAAGTCTTTTTTTTGTACTTAAAGTTTGAAATCCGATTCATTTTTAATTTTTCCGTTCAATTTTACATGTGTGGCACATTTAGTTAACAGAAATTTTAAAATAGAATGACCAAAAAAAGGCTGAAAATGGGTTAAAAATAACTTAAATTTGGTTCTCAACTTTAGAAAAAAGCTCTCTTTTAGTTTTTTTTTTTTTTGAAATTTTTATTATTTAATGTTAAAACTTAACAAAATAACTAAAAGAAAATCAAAATTTAAATTCAAGGACCAATAAGGGGTTTTTTTTAAGAAAGGAACTAATTTTTTTTTTTATCAAAATAAGAAGATCAAATGGAAGTTTTAACTTTTTTTTTTTTTTGACAAAAGCGATGGTTAGAAATTAGAAATTAAAAATTAATACCTTATTCTTTGATAAGATTCAATCACTGGTTAAGATGCATTTCACTAACAATCCTTTTAGACTGCAATAACATCACTGGACCACAACAAAAAAAAAATGTAAAGTTTTAACTTATTAAATATAATGTACTCGTAGAAGTTATAGCATTAACGGTGCGCAACACACGTTGCACGTCTCATTTCCACCACATGTAAAAAGAATATAAAGGGTAGGGACTGATTGGTTTGACTTAAAGTGCTCATGGCGGCCAGCGGAGATGCAGATAAGTACAAGATAAGATTCAAAGGTGCGTTAGTCTAACATTCAAAAAAAAAAAAAAAAAGGAAAA